TCTCCTCCCTGCTTATCACCAGTTCTTGTGATTACTGTCCTTTGGCATCTCAACTCCATCTGACAGTGATAACAAGAGGGTGGTTCAAGGCCAAATGAATCCCCATTCCTCCTTCAGCTACATCTCCCGCACAGGAAGACAGGTTTGTTATCTGTACAGACACAGAGTGTGAAAGTAAAAAAAGGCATGGGGACAGGACTGACTGTGACAATTAAGGGCATCAGAACCATGCAGTCTGCAACTCTCTGTAGTCCACAGGGTAAGAATGAGGAACAGGTAGCTTTCCAGATGTTGCCACACTACATACAGTTCCTATCATACAACTGGACAGATTGAGGATAATGGGAGAAATCCAACATCAAGGGTGACAGATTCTTCATCAATACTGCAACTTGATGCAAAACAGAAACTCTTTTGCTCCACCAGAGAATTTCCACTTGCCAGCTGCTTTTTATGGTCCAGGAAAATTCATGAAAGATAAGAAGATAAATGGCTAATAGTCATGAGGGCTACTTGCTACCGCCAAGATCAGAGGCTGCATGTTCCTGAACACCAGCTGTCAGGGCACAACAGGATACCAGGGCAATAGCCTTCTCCTGCCATTTGTGGGCTTTCCAGTCACATTTGGTTGACCACTGTGGGAAACAGGATTCTGGAATGAATAGGCCTTTGGTCTGATCCAGCTGGCCCCTTACTTTCTTGTGAAAAAGAAAACTACAGCATTAGGAGTCATGTCTTGCACTATTTATTACTTTGATTGGTGACCTCCTACTTTGTTGTTATTAATCGTTGTTGAGTTGATCCTGACTCATGGCAACCCAGTGGGTGAGATATCTCCAAGACTCCCTATCCTCCACTGCTCTGCTTAGGTCCTGCAAAGTCAGACCCGTGACCTCCCTAATAGAGTCTACCCATCTAGCGTGTGGCCTTCCTCTCATTCTACTTCCCTCCACCTTTCCTAGCATTATTTTTTTTCCAATGAGTCATGTCTTTTCATGATGTGACCAAAGCATAACAGCCGCAGCCTGATCATCTTGGCTTCTAAGGAGATTTCAGGCTTGATTTGATCAAGGACCCATTTGTTTTTCTTTTTGGCTGTCCATGGTATCCGCAGCACTTTTCTCCAGCACCACATCTTGAATGAATTGATTTTCTCGCTATCCATTTTCTTCACTGTCCAACTTTCACATCCACACATGTTGGGAGTTAGGAGGCATAGCTTCACTGTGCTTGACAACAAGACCTCAGGAAACTTAGCTTTTTGGATTACAATGACCACAATCTCCCAGTCAGAATAGCCAGTGGACCCTGACCATGCTGGTTGGAAGATTCTGAGAAGTATAGTCCAAAATGCTTCAACTAAAATGCATTTCCCCCAAGTTATAAGGATGACTTCAATTTTTTCCAGATTTCTTAATTAGTTTTTCAGTAAAGTTGGAATTTTCTTCTTTCATAAACACCATGATTTAGAATTGCCATGGCTTCCTTAAGTGTGTGCTTTTGTTGTTGTGTGCCTTCAAGTTGTTTCTGACTTATGGTGACCCTAAAGTGAGCCTATCATGGGGTTTCCTTGGCAGGATTTGTTCAGAGGAGGTTTGCCATTACCTTCCCTTGAGGCTGAGAGCATGTGACTTGTCCAAAGTCAGCCAGTGGGTTTCATGGCTAAGCCAAGAATCAAACCCTGGTCTCCAAAGTCATAGTCCAACATTCAAACCACTATACCACGCTGGCTCCTCACAGCAGCAGCAAGTAAAGGAAGAAAAAAAACACGGTTGCTAACATGTATTCAAAAATGAATTAATCTGCTCTAGGCAACACAAAGACCTTTATGTACAAAAGTACCAACACTGCAGCAATGACATAACCTTGCAGCTTCAAGTTAATGGTTTGCAGCAAAAGGATAAAAGAATTTTATGGTACCTTAAAGATGTCCATGCTATTCTAGCATCTGATGAATTAGATAATCTGCTTCATCAGATGCATAAAATCAAAGATTATGGATGAGGAAGGGTTAAATTGGAGGGCCAAACAACAGCAAAATGTAAGGTGTGACAATTTTCTGCATTAAGGCCAAATTTATGCCACTGATGCTTTTTGAAAAATAGTCTTAATCTGGCCACTTTGGTATTGGGGAAAAAAGGAGCTCTGTGTACATATGTTGGGGAAATACTTGGAAGATGCCCAGTTCCCTGCTAGATGCCTCCTCACATATAAGCAGTGGGAGGCTTGGAGGGGAACCAGGTGGGGAGGATCCCCTATCCATTTTGGCAGCACATTCTAGATCTGGATTCCTCTCCAAAGTGAAAATGGCCACTTCATAAAAAGAATGAACAGCACCAAGTGCAGTTTGGCCTTAAAAGGTAGACAAGATAAACATAGCAACCATTCAAAACAATACCAACTGGTAGCTAGGATGAGCTGTATTAATCACAACTAGGCTTGCAAAGCTTAGTGTGTGGGTTGTTTAATTTTAAAGAGCTATATTAATTGTGAGACCCAGCAGGACATAGTGGTTTGAGTGCTGGACTACAACTCGAGACCAGGGCTTGGATTCCCACTAACCCATGAAAGCCACGGGGTGACCTTGTGCAAGTCACATACTCTCAGCCTCAGGAGAAGGCAATGCAAACCTCCTCTGAACTAATCTTGCCAAGAAAACCCTTAGCATCACCATAAGTGGGAAGAGGCTTGAAGGCACACAACAGCAACAGATGTGGAGAATTAAGGGCCTAAATACCCTAAAGGCACCAGATCCCATCTGATTTGGAAGCTAGGCAGGGTCAGCCCTGGTTAATACTTGAATGGGAAACCACCAATGACTGCCGGGTACTGTAGGCTATATTTCAGAGGGGAGAACTGGCAAAATCACCTCTTGAGTATTCCTTGACTAAGAAAACCCTATGAAATCAATGGAATCACCATAAATCAACAGGTGCGCGCACACACACACACACACATATATATATATAGAGAGAGAGAGAGAGAGAGAGGGAATGTCATTCTTCCTCTTGCAAGCAGAGGAAGAGAGCTGCCAAGGAAGAACCTTTACTGCCCACATTTTGGAATATTTGAGAGGTTTTCTAACACAAATGTGGAGTCTTCAAGGGATGTATGGAAGCTACCCTGTGCCCTCACCTTCTAATCCTTTCTGTAATTAACATATTAATCCTGCCTAAGTGTCTTAAGCTGTCTCCAGGGTGGCTTTTCTCCACTCTTGAAACAAGACAATCTGGGCTATTTTGCTGCCAGCTGGCATGGGTGTCAAACACATCCCTTGTCCTAAAGCCTGAGGTATAGGGTTTATAGCTCTATCTCCAATCCAGCACCCTCCATGTATATTAGACTACAACTCCCATCAATCTGCATCCAGCATGGGCTCTAAGCAACTGTAGGAATTGTAGGATTCCCAGCCCCTCTTATTGGCTCTACTGCTTAGGAGTGATGGGAGTTGTAATCCAACACATCAACAGGGCTCCATGGTAGAGAAGGCTGCCCCATACCAAGGACAAGCTGGAAGAAACTATAAGGAGGTGTAAAAGGTAGACGAGGCTTTGGCATACCTCCAACTGTCCAGATTTGGCCGGGACAGTCCCAGTTAATCCTCTGTTGTCCCATTTTTCAGCTGCTTTTAAAATGTCCCATTTGCCTTCAGCTTATTTCATTTGCTGCAAACTAAGTTCAAAGTGCAAAAAGTAGTTGGCACTCAGTTAACTGAACATGGAGCAGAAGAGGGGGCAGATTCATGTCCTTCCCAGTAGGCTCAGGCAAAAGCAAACTGCTGCAGCTTTCTTAACTATTCTTCCTCATTAATAATATTTGCCATCTTAACCACACTCCAATGCAGTTCAGCCACAGATGTCCCACATAGGAAATATTGGAGGGTCCATTTAGACTTTTAAGAAGGAGCCAGATTTGTTTCTCCTGCCACCCTAACTGTAAACCCTGGGTTCTTATTCTACTATTGTCCACAAAGATTCCCACACAGATTAGTTCCTTTTGACTGAACAGGGCTGGGGAAGGAGAGGCTAAAAAAGGTTGTTGGCACAACAAGGAGACCTCACCATCTCTAGGGCTGGGCCCTCAAAGTATGATTTGCAACCCGTGCAATGATAACTGACCAAGTGATATGTAACCAGGAATAAAATTTCTCTCCCTCTGCCAAAAAATTGTAGGGTTCTATGGATTGTTCACATACGTCAACAGAAGCTTGATCTCCTATCAATATTGACTTAGCTCTGTGTTAATATTTGAGGCCATGGCTTTCCAAAGCACATTCACCACCTGTTGATCCAGACTGAGCACAAATTTGAGGTAAAGCATATCTGGCAATATGGGGTGAGTAGGAAAGGAAATGTTAGGGCCTTTGCAGAGTGCCAGAAATAGTGCAAATTGAGTCCACTTTAAGGGTTAAGGTTAGGATTAGGGAATCATGGGAACTATTTTATTGTGGCACTAGAGCTCTCTGACAGAGAAGGCTCAATGTCTCAGAAAAAAAAACAATTCCCATGATTCCCTAGCACTGACCCTAACCCTTAAAGTGGATTCAATTTGCACTATTTCTGGCAGTCTGCAAAGGCCCTTAGAGACCTATAATGGTTCATATGCTCTATCTCCTCCTTAATAGACTTTAATCGACTTTGCCTCCATTTAATAGACTTTGCTATGTCACCCTTAATAAACTTTAATAGACTTTGCCTCCATTTTTAAACAGCTTCTTGTGAGGTAAAAATGGTCTGATTAAATTTCTATATCCGAAAATGAAAAATTATCCTTTCTCAGGTATAGTGAGCAACTTGTTGTTGTTGCTGTTGTTGTGTGCCTTCAAGTCATTTCAGATTTATGGTGACCCCAAGGCAAACTCTGAAGGCACACAACACTTGGCAAGATTTGTTCAGAAGAGGTTTGCCCTTGCCTTCCCTTGAGGCTGAGAGAGTGTGATTCACCCAAGGTCATCCAGTGGGTTTCGTGGAAAGTTGGGAATCGAACCCTGGTCTCCAAGAGCCAGCGTGGTGTAGTGGTTCATCGTTGGACTAAGACTCTGAAGAGCAGAGTTCAATTCCCAGCTCTGCCACAAAATCTACTAGATGACCTTGGGTGAATCACAGTCTCTCAGCCTCAGGGGAAGGCAATGGCAAACCTCTTCTGAACAAATCTTGCCAATTAAACCCCATAACAGGGTTGCTATAAGTCGGAAATGACTTGAAGGCACACAACAACAACAAAAAACCAAGGCAGCATAAAGCAGCTTAATCCAGCACCCTCTAGATGTACTATAGTATCGTCCCCAAATCAACATGGGAATTGTAGTCCAACACAGCTGGAAGTCATTGGGACGGGGAAGGCTCTTTTAGAGGTAAGGATGGCAAATTGATGCTGTAGCTCTATCCTATGAAATGCTGAGATTTATAGATTTACAAGGTCTTTACCCTTCTTTGGGAAAGCGTGCTGGTGCCTCACAAACTACAAATCCTAGGACTGTGTAAATGGAACCATGGCATTTACAGTAGTGACAAACTGCATTATTTCTACAGTGTACATGCATCCAAGGATACTGTTGCAGTTGTGAGACTGCTAGGAACTGCTATTCCCACCATGAAATGGATTATTTTCTGTTATATTTGTGCAACATGGACCAACCAACACTGGCGAAACAAATGTCCTATGGTTGATTGCTAAAACAAGCCCTGAACTGATACTTTTGCCTACTGAAATCATGGGAAACTCTCAGCTGTACATGTGACATCACTATGCAAATTTATAAATCTTTCATCCCTGAGAATAAAGTTGTTCTTATTTATTCTGGTTATGGATTGCAAGACTGTTCTATTTTGGAGGGAAAGCAAACTCTTTGGCCAAAGAAAATTAACTTTCCACACAGATTCAGGATTTAAACCGCAGTCCACATTGATTCACGGTTGGTATCTCAGTAGGGCTGATATCTGAGATGATGTTGCACTGCAACTCTTGGCTATGTCTTGGACTCCTGGGAGTTGTAATCCAACAAGACCTGGAAGCCCTCAAAATTCCTATCTGCACTAGAACATCCTGGCTGAAAACTCTAAATACCCCTCCCACAACCCCAATTCCATAGGATTGAGCATGGCAGTTAAAGTGGAATCATAATGCTATAACTATATAGTGTGAACAGGCTCCAAAGTAATAACCAACAACAGTAGACATACTCAAGGGGCCTTTTCTCACTACCAAATTATAGTGCTTCATCCTATAGAATCCCAGGGTTTTTGTAGTTTGGTGAGGCGCTAGAGCTCTCTGACTGATATCTCTCTTTAATCTACAAATGCCAGGAATCCATAGACACAGCCATGACAGTTAAAGTGCAGTCACAGCATTATGATCATGTAGTATGAAAGGGCCTCTTACTCTCAAATATGTCTCTTCAAAAAGTGGTTAGGTAAACAGTACCAAGAAGTAGTGTGCACATAGTAATTCAAAGTTGCACAGAACACAGCAAACTGTAAATGAATCAAGATCATGACTGAGAAAGTAGGAATCTCCAGCACCTTGGAATTCTAATTTCATGTAGACAAGGGTCAGCCTTTCCACTATTTGGTGCCCATGGGATATGTTGGGCAAGGTTGGGGATCATGGACACTGGATTTCAACAAGGGAACAGGTTTGGGGAATCTGCCTCAGGTGCATATCCTTAGACAAATAAGTCCTCCGAGCATAGATTGAAGACAGACCCGTCAGAATCTATCAGCAGTTCTCCAGGTGATTTGCAACAAGATGTGCAAGAGGTTTCTGACTTATTTAATAATGGAAAAGTTCTCTCACATTCTCTATTCCTCATTCTTTCTCACACACACCTTCTGTATTAGGTTTCTGAAATGAAGAAAGCTTTGGAAGAGAAACCAAGAGCTGGTTTTAGTGTAAAGGAAAGGAAGTTCAAGGGCATAAAGATGAACAAATCTTTGGCCTGCGCCACATGATCAGAAATGTCCTGTTCTTTTAATCTTTATGTTTGCTCCTGTGCCGTACCTGCCAAAGGTTTGCATGAGTCTAACTTTTGATCCCTAAAGTTCGATGGGAGAGGGAACAAAAAAATGGATCCCAGAGGTAAGGAATTTCCCCAATCATTTCATAGGGCCTTTGCAGACTGCCAGAAATAGTGCAAATTGAACCCACTTTAACTGCCCTGGCTCAGTGCTAGGGAATCATGGGAATTGTATTTTTTTCTGAGGCCTTGAGCCTTCTCTGTCAGAGAGCTCTGGTGCCACAATAAACTACAGTTCCCATGATTCCCTAGCACTGAGTCAGGGCAGTTCAAGTGGACACAATTTGCACTATTTCTGGCAGTCTGCAAAGGCTCTTAGACAATCCATCCATACAACTTTAGGAGCAGATACTCACGTTCCCAGCACCTCCCGGAATTCATAGATCTCCCGAATATCGTCAGCTCTCTTTTTCCAGCTGGGCCCATCTTCTTCCAAGGGCATGGTTCTTTCTGGGTCTAAGATCTGTGCCACCTAGCCCCCAGCTGGTCTGGAGCAGAAGGAAAGGCAGGTATGGCAAACTCAGGGCCTAGAAAGGTAAGAGCAGACAAACAATATCAGAACAAGGGACGCTGAAGGCAAGAAGCATTGCCTAAGAGATGAACAAAAGCAGTGTGTGTGTGCGTGCGTGTTTGTGTGTGACAGAAGCAGAAGAAGGATTGCATATTCAAGTTCAGCTCAGCTTGGCTCATCACACATGTATGAAGCAAGATCTACCAGTCACCTTTCAGTGAAAAAGGGTCTGATACTGCTTATTCATGCACCTTCGGCAAAATTGCCACAGCAGACCTGTCTTTGGAGAAGCGGTTTACATTTAAAAGCAGGCATATAATGAATGTCCCTTATAAGAGCTCTCAAGCCAAAATGAATCGGAGGAGATAAGGTGTTCGGGTTTTTAGAGAGAAGTTAAGGAACACATTAATATTAGTTATGAAGGATAAGATAGAGGTAGAATAGAAAACAAGGACCAAACACTGAAGAGAAAGGAACTTTTAATTAGTTTTACTGTCAGCCCTCCATATCCATAAAATTTTTATCCACAGATTCAACCATCTACAGCTTGAAAATCTTTTTCAAATATACAAATTCCAAAAAGCAAACCTTGATTTTGCCATTTTATATAAGGGACGCCATTTTACTATGCCACTGTATTTAATGGGACTTGAGTATCCATGGATTTTGACATCCACAGGGGTTCTTGGAACCAAACCTGCACGGATACCAAGGGCCCACTGTTTATTATTATTATTATTATTATTATTATTATTATTATTATTATTATTATTATTATTATTTGTTTGTCTCTATGTTATATGGTTGTTGTTTGTCATTGCTGTTACTGTTTACAATGTCACGTCTGTGTTTTTACTTGTGTTAATAATGTTTAATTTAGTCAATTTTATTCATTGAATGTATTTTACGATGCTGTGTTAGTTTTAAAATTGGGAGGGGGGGTAAGGGGATCAGGTTACTTTATCATGTTGATTTATAGCTGTATTGTTGTATTTCATGATTATTACCCGCCTCGATCCTTCGGGGAGAGGTGGGTTATAAATAAAAAGTTATTATTATTTAAAAAAATTAAAAATAAAAATAAAAAGCAGGCAAGAAAGTTGTTGGCCATCTTCCTTAAGGACTCATTTGCCTCTTGCAAGCGCCTCATAGGCTGCTCTGACCCAGGAGTCTCATTAGGGGGGTGCGGCATGCACTGGGTGACATCTCAGAGAAGGGTGTCACTGGTGTGCTGGTAGGAAAGGATGCCTTCTGGGTCTAGTGGCTCTGCTGGCCAGGCAGAAAAGAAAGTCACCTACCTTTCCTACCTGGCCAGCAATTCTGTCACACCCAGAAAGTCTGTGAGGTGGCCGGAGCACCTCACCATTGGTTGCTGGCGGGACCAGGTTGCTTTCTCGATCTAGTGGCTATGCCAGTCTCATGGCGAAGAGTCTCGCCTCCCTCTCCTGCCCAGCCAGCAGCTTCAAAAGACCCGGAAAAGATTGCTGAAGAGAAAGGGTTTTTTAAATAATTATCCGCACTGGGTGTCAAACATACTAAGTCTGCCACTGCTGCCCACTGCCTGATGCCCACCTACCACCAGCAGACCCACTGTGGGTACTAAAGCAATAGAAATCTCCTAAGCAAATGTCCCATGGCCTTTAAAGGTTGAGGGAGATCAAGGGGTGGGGGGTGAGCTGTGGCCTGACCTAAGGACCTCTTCTGCTTCATTTCAGCTCTTTGCCATTTCTCTTCATCTCTGTGCCCTTAAGCATATTGCTTAGGCTTTATCCTGTTTGGTAACATTACTGCAATCTCCATGGCAGCAGCTGGCGTTCCTGCAAGGCAGAGAAACACAGCTCTTTTCTCTGTCTGATCCACTGTCTGCCAGGGGTCAGACAGACCTGCCCATCTATTTTCACCCTCGCCCCTCCAGACTCTCTGCACCCCCAATACTCCGCTTCTGAGATTCAGCCATGTAAGCGAGCATAGACTTTGGTGTTTTTGACAAAGGCTATGCAGAACAGGTGCATTTCAGCCCCAAGAGTCTGACTTTTGCGTCAGCTGCATTGTATTGCCAAAGGCTGAAAACTCAATGATCATTTTTCTTTTTTAAAAATTATCATCAAATACACTCTCAGCTGACATTTTGAGATCAGAGTTACATAATGATGTTTCCTTTCCTTCCTTCTTCACGCTCAAACCCACCCCCCTTACAAAGAAGGATCCACTTTCGGCAAAGACCTGCGAGGGCAACCCAAGTTCTTCTTGGCTCAGGTTCCTGCCGTACAAGCAGCCATGCTCACGGTACAGGACAGGGATACCCCAAGAAGGGCAAAAGACAGATCCTGTAACATTCCCCCAGCCAAAAAGGAATCAGGGTGTTTGTCTTCTTTAAAAAAGAGCCAGTTCCTCTCATTGCTTCCCATGGAAATTCAGAATCAATGGACACACCTCCTGGAAATGCTCTCCCATGTGTTTTAGCATATTAGTATATTATTTTAGTATTTTAGCATTGTATAGTGTTGTGTTTTATCATCCATTTTACAGTGAGCCCTCAGTATCC